TCTAGCCACATTTCAGCTTCCTAGGCTGTGAAATATTCTGTGTACATTTATAGACCCATTGAAGAGAAACGGGATAAGGCGATAAGAAAGTTGAGTATGGAGAATGATACAGATGTGAGGTATTGAATTTGCTGCCATCTTAAGGATATCCCAGGCCTATTGGCTAAAAGTGAAGTAAGCACTTCCCTACTTAGTATAACAAGCTCTCAGGAGGCTTATCCCCAAGCAGATAAGATGTGGAGTGAAACCACTGTAAACAGGCCTGATTTCTAGGCAGGGCTAGATTAGGTTAGAAATGGATAAGATAAATGTATTTAATTAATACAGTATGTTCCGATCTTATATCAAGGACTTGGCAAGTGGTCCTTGGTTAACACTCGTTTCTCCCAAATCCCTGAATGACTTCCCATCTGGATCTGGAAGTCCTGTGGCTTCTTTCCTTAAAGGCCTGCTTTTCTGTGTTATTCTGCTCCCTCCCTAGGTCCTTTCCCCTACCTCTGCCCCTCTCCAAATATCTTAATCATGATTCCAGAGAAGGCAAAAAGTAGGTTTTTGCCATTTTACTTGGGCTCCATCTGCCAGAGCCTCCCTTAGTCTGGAGCAAGATGTCAATGAGTACGGCATAAGGAATTTCTGTGGATGATGCTGATGATGACAAATGGAGGGGGAGTGATTTTCCCAGGGGAGTCAATTTTTGTGGCTCTTCATTGTTCTTCCCCGTGATGTGTAGTGTTCCAGGCTGGCAGCATGCTGTGAACAAAGCAAATTGTATTCTGCAGTCTCTTTAGATATGCTATAACTTGGCAAGGGCTGAAGGCAAATCATGCACCTGCATAACCTTTTTAGCTTGACAAAGTATGGCGCCTCTCCCCCGCTCCCCTCCCTTCACGGGAAGTGCTCCCAGACGATGGCACAAACAAGCCCTAATTAAGTCTGTCCTCGCATCCCGACGTCTTTTCCTCCAACCTTTCCTTGGGTTTAGATGTGTAATTAAGAGGAAGGTGGAGAAACTAAATCAGCTATGAGATGCAGCTGGGAATTGGGAGCTCCCTAATAGCAAGTGAAGACTGGAACTTCTGCTCTGGCAGCTCTTTTGACAGTTGAAACAGGGCAAGAGATGTGGTAAATTGATGGAGGAATTAAGATGCTCTTGAGGGATAAATTGATTGCAATGATCTGAGAACATCTTCTCAGACCTTTTGAGTTTCTTACATTTTCACCTTTTGTCTCTGAATAAGAGAATTTTAATGTCTTCCAGCCAATCTTTAAAGGTGATATATGTAAGGTGCCTGGTGCTTCTCTGGGAAGGCCGTGAACACACCCTTACACTTATATGCAAAATTTGGGGCTTTGTGTACTTATCTGAAAAGACAGTCCCATAGATTTTATCATGTGCCCAGAGGGTGCAAGACCTACCCTTTCCCCCCAAAGTTAAAGAACCACTGGTATTAGAGAAGGATCTAGAGACAAAAATCTGGAAGGATAGCCACATTTGGAAGCCGTGAAGAGAGGGTGGAGCCTATAAAAGCTAGAAGAGGACAGAGACACCAGGCGGGCAGTAGGCGGTTCAGCACGTGCACTTGGGAATCAGACACCTCTCAGGGCAGAGCCCAGGGTCTCCATTTACTAACCGTGCTGGCTGTGTGACCTGGGGCAAGGTGTATCTCTAAGCCTCAGTTTTCTCATCTATAAAATGGGATGATAGCACCAACCTCGTAGAATTGTTGCAAGGATTGATTGACGTCATCCATGTAGCACACCTCCTTGTCTTCCTGTTTGTGTGTGTGTGTGGTCTCTGTCTTTGCATGTATTTTGCATTTTCCTGTCTATTTTATGCCTCCTTCTAGGCCAAGCAGCCTGTGCAGGCCTCAGAAGGCTCTGAGTTCTGTTCCACTACCTGTTTTGTCTGCTTTCTTTAGAGAAGCAATCAGTGTGAGGTGGTCTCCTTGGCTGATATCCTCCTTCCAGCTCCCCAGTGCCTGCTTGCTGGCCAGGCCAAGAGCAGCATCTTTGCACTTTTCCAAGCAGTGGAGGGAGCAGTGGAGGCTTGGAGCTTGGTGCCTAGAACCTGAAGCCTGGAGCCAAGTGAGCCAGCCTCCTCTGGGAAGGAGAGACCAAATCAGCCCTGGGAGGGGAGAGCCCTGTCTCCTGCAGTGCCCCAGATAGCGGCCGCCTCAGGCAGCCTCAGAGGCTGCCTCTGTGGCCTAGTTCCTTTTGTAATTTGCCCAACAGACCAGAAGATGGGGCTCTTGACCCTGAAGTCAAGGGCCAGAGGCTCTGACTTTTTCCACAATTGAACTGGAGGAAAATCAGACCCACAAGAGCTCCCAGGAATCCTCTGCCTCTGCATTCCTCTCCCTACCCTGCCCACTCTTATCTATTCCCATGGCTGGGAGCTGTCTTTCTGGGAAGTGGGGAATGCAGGACACATCTTCCCTTTGGTCACCATTCTTGGCCCCTCCTGAATTACCACGTTGCAAGAGTCCGTCTAAGTGACCCCCTGCCTCAGGTTTCCCCTCTAACCCATCCTGCCCCTAATGGCAGATTTCGACAATGGTACCCCTTCTATAGGACAGTGTTGTAAGGTGGCCCAGAGCTGTAGAATCAGACAGACTCATCCTTGACTCATCTCATCAAGTGAGGCTCTCCTCCCCTCCTCAGAGAAGCCCTCCCCAAGCACCCTATCTAAAATAGCTCTTCCCACCCCCCATGCCAGTTACTCTATCACATAACCCTGTTATTTACTTTCTGGCAGCTATCATAACCTGTAATTATCTTGTTTGTTTCCTTGTTTACTCTCTCCCCACTGAATTGCAAGGCTCAAGAGGGCAAGACCCTGTTTGTCTCATTGATGTTTTCAAAACACCCAACACAGGGCTGAATACAGAACTTCTCAGGAAATATGTTTTGAATTAATAAATGACTGAATCTCAGCTTAAAGACTGCTTGACCTGGAGAAACCTGCTAAACTTCTCTGAACCTCAGTTTTCTTATCAGTGAAATGAAGAAATAATGGAAATGTCATGAATATTAAATACAATGCATTTACACCACTAAACCCAGGTCCTGGTGCATGGATGTGTTGTCTAAAATCTTCAGCGGTGTCCTACTTTCTATCATATGAGAAAAATAAAGTCTGACTTAATTAGCTGGCTCTCCACAATTCGGCCATAGCTTTTCTTTACCACAATTTTTACTTCCTATCACTCTTCTTTATAACTTTCTGCTTTGGCCCAAATCATGGCTACTCTGAATGGGCCATGTGCATTCCTACTCTTAAGTCTTTGCCCAAGAGTTGAGATGCCTGCTCTGCCTACCTTGGCTCAACTATTTTCAGATTTAGCTCAAACCCATGTTCTCTGTGTCATGTTCCTGAAGTGTCCCCAGTCATAAAGATCATTTTCTCTTCTGCATTTTTATAATCTTTGTGGTCTATATTACTCATATGGCTCTTGTTCTGTGTTATATTATCTTGCCATTGTATTAACATATATCCTGTTTCCCTGATTAGATCACAAGCCCTTTGGAGATATGTATAATATTTTCAATTTCTCTGCATCTTCAAGTGCCATTTAGGTCTGTACATAGTAGATGTTCAATACATTTTTTATTAGATTGAGTTAAAAGCACATATATTTACTAACTACTATGTGCCCAGCATTCTTTGAGGCTTTGTGGAGTATACAAAAGGGCATAAGAAAAATAATCACTGCCTTCTAAAACTTACAATATTATAGTAAGCTAAAGTCAAGAAATAATAAAGAACTTAAATAACCACAGCATGGTAACTGTTAGAAGAAAGGTATGAGTTCTATGAGGATTCCAAAGAGGGAGAGATGACATCTCTTAGGGGTGATGGGGAGAGTGGGATAAAGAAAGGCTCCTTGGAAGAGGTGGCCTTTGAGATTGACTTTGAAGGATGGTTAAGATTTTGATGGGCAAAAATGGGGTGAATTCCAGATTCAAGAGACAGGATTAGTGAAGAGATCAATATAGACTGTGGCAAAGAACACTAAGACTCAGAAACAGGACCAGGGACTTATACAGGAGATCAGAAATATTCTGCCTCAGTGACACTGAAACACAACCTTGTTTCAAATTTCAGGGCCAATGTAAGGGATGGTGTTTAGGGCTTGAAACTTTAACATGTACCTGACTACATTCCTCAAGTGTAGCTTCTTTGGAGACAGAGAATTATTTGCAACAGTTCTTTTTGCTCTAATAATGTGGACTTACCTACAGTCTGATGTGATACTGCGTATAAAGCAAAAGGCCCCTCTCCTCCTCTTGGGGACAGAGGATTGGTTGGATTATGGCCAGCCTCTCTTTTCTTTTAAACCCAATCAAACTGAATGCATTACTCATGATTTTCTAAGCTTGCCTTAGATCAGTAATTCTTCTGTCATTAAATAATAATTTGCCTTAGATCATTTCTTGGAAAAGTTGGAAGTGCTTTTGTGGAATTACTTCAAGAATCATCCTTAGCTCAACTCTGTGCTTTTGGCTACCAACCTGAAATCCAGGGAGAAGACCTAAGTCATAGCGAGTCTGTGGAGGAGGTCGGATCTCTGCCCGCCTGCTTCTCTTTAATGCTCTTTAATCTGGCCACTAGCTCAGAGATTAACAAGTAATTTTAGAAGGCCCTTTCCCCTCATCCTCGATTACTTCCTTCTGCAATCCCAATGGACGTTTCCCCAGAATTTAAAAATCATTACCTAAGGAATAAAATCAGAATAGACTATACCGACGCCTTCCCAGTTTTCAAGGGTCAGGTGCCGCTGCAAATAGAAGCACGAGATTTTCAATTTCTAGCAAGTAGTTGGAAGGACCTTCAAGCCAAGAGGCCCCTGAAGGGAGGGAGGCGGTTTCCAAGGCAACCAGGCCCCGGAGCGGTTGGCTCCCCAGGCTCCCTCCTCCTGCTCCTCCGGGTAGCCCAGGGTACCGCCGGACAGCGTCCTCCCATGCTCCGCGCCCTGATTGGCCGCACAGGCCGCGCGCTGATTGGCTGCGGCGGTGCCTCGCGGGCCGGTGGCTATGGAGGCGGCGGCGGTTGATGGTTGACCGTTGGCTCCAGGGTAGGGGTCGCCGCTCGGGCGATCGCTCAGACCCGACTAGAGTGCGCGGGCTGCTGACGCTCGGCCTGGAGCCCGGGGGCGAGATCTAGCTCGGCTCCGCCATGCCGGCCGGGAGTAACGAGTCGGACGGCGTCCTCCGCTATCAGGTAGGGCCCCGCCTCCCGCCCCTCCCCGGAGCTCAGCCTCCTCATCCTCTGCCCACCCTCCTTCCTCTGCCCCCGAGCCCGGGCTCCGCAGGCCACTCCCTGAGGGCGAGGGGAGGCCAGCCCGCGACACCAGGGGGCGCTCCGGGCGGGTGGGGATCGGCCGGGGCTGCGAGAGGGTGACCTTGGGCCGAACCTGGGAGCCGGCCGATCGCTGCCGCATCCCTTGCGCGGCCGGCGGAGGAGCCTTGACTGCCGGCAGGCGGTGACCTCTGTTCTTCTCGGATGCTCCCTGTTGGGAGAGAGGCTGGCTTCTGGCCTTGCCGTGTCCAGCTGCAACGTGGGAGAAAGGGTAGCCAGGGACCTTGCTCGGGTCCGGCAGGTCTCTTCTTTGTGTTTTTATTTCTGGGGGTTTCTGGTTCTTGAATGGCTCAGAGGAAGAGCTGGAAAGACTGGAGGCTGGGACCAAACCCCGTTAGTGTGGCCAGCTTCATGACTCCCTCCGCCCCATTGCACAGACATCTGACAGGTTCTGGGTAGGGAAGGGCAAAGGGGTTGGGAAAGTGTTGAGAGGTCGGGAACAGGTGTTTATTTAAGGGAAGGAGGAAACCAGGTTTAAATAACTGATAATCCAACGGTTGGAGTGGCTAATGTAAGGAGAAGCCTTAGACTAGGTGAGGGAGACTGTAGGTTTATATTCTACATCTGCCTTGCACAGGCTTTGTGACCTTGAGTAAGTCACTTGCCTCTTTGAACCTCAGTTTCCCCATCTAGTAAAATGGGAATGATAAGGTCTGCTTTGCTTACTTCACAGGGTTGTTCTGAGGACTAAACGAGGTGCTATTTGTGAAAGGCTTTGTGAAATAATATTTCTTGTGTGACAACTAGTAACTGAGTGGCAGCTCATTGAATTCTCTCTCCCTCTTTCCTGTGCAGTCAGGTCGTATAGTTACTGCTCTGGAAAGAGGAATTGAAGGGAGGTAAGTCTGAAGTGGAGAGCTGTGAAGAGGATGATGGACCTTCTCTTGAAGGATGATAGGTCTTGGAAATGAGTGCTACGTTGACGTCAGGGATGGTTTCTGTAAGGAGGCAGGGAAAACACGCCGAGTTTGTAGCCGACCGGGTGTCAGACGCTGATTCTCTTCTCTTCTTCCTGGTAATAGGTTGCTACTAGAAGATCCATAATTCCTTCTTTGCTTGCTCCGTCAACAAAGGGACCATATCTAACATTTTGGAAAATCTTTCTATATCTAATCCTTCTAAGGCCTACTAAGTGTATTCATTCTATGTTTGGGATACAGTGATGAGCAAAAATAGGCAATGTTCTTCCCCTCCAGAAGCTTCCCATGGTGGGGGGAGAAATAACTGTTTTTAATCAAATAATCACACGAGTAAATGTATTATTATAAACTGTGATAAGTGCTTCGAAAGACAGATAGCCTTGGTGTCAGATCAGAGAAGATTTTGCTAAGGAAGAAAATTTGGGCAAAGACCTAAAGAATAAGTGTCAGCTGAAGGAAGAGGGAGTTCAAAGGGCCTTGGAGACAGAGCACAGCAGAAGGGGCCATATCTAGGTAGAAGACCGAAAGCAGGCCAGTGTGGCTGGAGCCCCAGGGAGTACTGAGGGGAATGGTGTGTGATGTACTCTGGGGTCACAACACACAGGGCCATTGCACCCCAGGGTGAGGAAGTGGTATTTATCAGAGGAACAAGGGGAAGCCACTGAAGGGGTTGAAGCAGAGAGGAGAAGAAGAGAGAAAGAGAAGAGGAGAGAGCAGGAGCCAGAGAGAGAAAGAGAGCTAATGAGATCATCATCAGATTTTCCTGTTGAAAGATTTCTCTGGCTGCAGTGGGGAGAACAGGCTGGAATGAACGTGAGGAGACAGTGTCCTTAACATGCAGAATGTGTACCAGTTATATTGTCAAGATCATAATAACCCCAAGGCTTCTATGAGTGCTCTGTGAAACTGATAATTCCTCAGTGCTTCTGGGATAGGATAGAAAATAATCATCTCCTTTACATCTAGTTCCTGAAACTTTCATGGGTGGTGGGATGAGGAGAGGACAAGGAATAGAGCGGGAACAATGGGACCTCATGAAGGCTGAGTCAGGTGATGGGCAAATGGGTACTTGAGATCTAGGGAGGAAGAGAAGTGAGGGGAGAAGGAGGAAAGGAAATAGGGATGACTTGGCGGGGACACAGTCGACTGATTGAAAATGACCAGTTCAGCCTCCTGTGTGCCCACTAGGCTGTGTGGAGAGAGATGGACCTTGCAAAGTGAGGAGGTTGTGTAACTTGATGTGAACAGAGAGTCCAGGCATCACATCTAAATATCACAAATGTAGGCTGTTTCCTCTGCCTTGGACTACTGCACCAGCCTCCTAACAGTTCCCTCTGCTTCCTCTCTTGCCCTTCTGCGGTCCACTTTCCATGTGGCAGCCAGGGGAAGCTTTTAAAAATATAAATCAGATTGGATTATACCCTATCTTACAACCCTTCAGTGGCTTCCCAGTGCATTTTGGAATAAAATCCAAGCTCCTTATCATGGCCTAGCCAGCTTTCACGTGATCAGAGCCTTGCCCACCCCCCTGACTGCCTCTCCTCCAGGCTCTCACCGTGCACCCCTGCACTGGCTTTCCTTCTGTTTCCTCGACATGGCAAGCTCCTTCATGCTTCAAGACCTTTGTCCTTGTTGTTCCCTCCACCCAGGATGTTCTTCTACCCAGGCCTTCTCGTGACTCAACTCAAATGTCACCTCCTCAGAGTGGCTTTCTGTGACCTCCACCCACAGTCACTCTCTTTCAGATGATCCTGTTTTATTTTCTTAATAGCACTTATAACTTATCTGAAGTGTTCTCGTTTTGATTTCTTGGTTATTATCTTTTTGAAGCTTCATGAGGGCAGGGACCAGGCAGAAAATCGTGTCATATCGCGCAGTGCCTGCTATAAAAGAGGTGCTCAGTTGCATGAGTGAATGAAAGACTTTCCTGGATCCAAAGCCAATGGGCCTCTCCTGAAGGAGCTCCTGGTCTTGGCAGGATTAGCGCAGAGCATCAGACAGCCATTGCTCCGTTACACAGAAGCTCTCCCTTCTGTGCTACTGTGCGTTTGCTCAGGTGTTCCAGCTGGAAAATCCTTCCCTTCCTCTCCACCTAGGATATTCCATTTTAACCTTCAAGGTCTGGCTTCATGTCATTATCAGAATTCGTCACTCCGTCTTCTCTGCTCACAGCAACCACCAAGTGCTTGCCCCCTCCTTGCCGTGGAGTATGCGTGTTCATCTCTGCTGCTAAACTGACAGCTCCCTTTATGTTGTTGTTTATGTAGGTTAACTTTTCTGGAGTGCTTGCTGTGTGCCAGGCACTGGACTAAGTGCTTTCCATGCATTATCTCATTTAGTTCTCTCAATAACTCTGAGAGTTACATGCCTTTATTACCCCTGTTTTTCAAATGAGGAAACTCAGACAGAGAGGTTAAGTAACTTCAGTAAGTGGCAGAGCTGTGCCCCTCTTCAAAGGATGTGCCCTTCATCACTCTGTGTTACTGTAGCTTGTGTCTTTGATACCTAGACCAGTGCCTGGCTCGGAAGATATATGTGGCAAGGTGTACAAAGGCTATATTAGAGTGGGAAGAGACTGGGGTGAGGGAGGCCAGCTAGCAGGCTCTAATTTAGGATGAGTTAATGAAGGCCCGTATTATTGAATTTTGGTGAGATCTCCGGAGGTGGTTATTGAAATTATAGGAGTTAACGAGCTCCTTAAGGGGGTAGTAATGGAGGAAGAAGATTGGAAACTTTGGGGAGAGCCCGTAGTTTGAACTGGCACTAGGGACATCTTGTAGCTTCACAGTTCTCCTGATCATCACTTTTAGAACCAGGCAGAAACAAGTGCTGGAGGAGAAGGCTGGAGAGGTTGGAACTGACCTGCAGGGAGGGTGGAAGTGGTGGAGGGAGGAGCGAGTGAGTTTGGCTTTTATGTGGATCAGGGCTGCTCAGACTGGAAAATTTTCAGAAATCTTCGGAATAACAAGCCCTGGTAAATGGGTGGTAATTGGGAGGCATGGCCGATGGAAAGAGAGTCACACTCCATGTCTTCTGGTGGACCTGAAAAAACTCTCCGAGTTCCTGAAGGAGACCTGAGTGCTAGTGCCCAATGACTCTGGCACATGTTGGAGCTCACTAAATATTTGCTGAGCCAACGAATGAATGGCTCTGTAGAGAGCAGGTCAACTTTTCTGAGGATCATGGTCAGTTTATGGTAAGCATTCAGTAAATATTTGCTGGATGTTATTGAACGGAATTATCAGCCATAGCAGTTTCTCCTCTCGCCACGCTGCAGTGTACAATCCACACTTTTCCACCATCGCCCGAGACACACTCGGTGTTCTTTCTCTCTGTGGGAGTTGAGGAATCTGTGAGCCTTCTCTTTACCTGGCTCCACCAGCTCTCCTGGGGAGCTTCAGGAGAAGAGGTGTGGGCTGTCCTGCCAGGCAGAGAGTTGAGGCAGTCTGGGCAACTATTCAGGCTGCAAATTTACTTCCTTCAAAATTTGTAGACAGTTGTCTTAGCTCATGGTTTACCTTGGCAGGGTCGACAGGGCTCTCAGTCAAGCCTGCCACAGTGGTAATGAGGACACAGAAAAGCAACCGTATTTCTTCTAAATCTGCTGCTAGGTAACAGCAACCAATCTTAGATAATGGAGAGGTTGGTTGTTTCCCATAAGGAAGTAACAAGTTTACTCTGGTCTTGGTAGTTAGGAAGCCATAATGTATATATTAGTTTCCATTCTTGCCATAACAAATTACCACAAATTTAGTGGCTTAACACAACACAAATTGATTATTTTACAGTTCTATAGTCAGAAGTCCAACACAGGTCTCATTAGACTAAAATCAAAGTTTTGGCGGGGCTGTGTTTCTTTCCGGAGACTCTAGGAGAGAATCTCTTTCCTTGACTTCTTCAGCTTCTAGAGGCTGCCCACCCTCCTTGGCTCATAGTTCCCTT